TTGCCCTGCATTAATCCCTGTACTAATCCCACTGCCCCTGTTTGATCCCTGTAGCAATGTATCAATCCCCAAATTAATCCCACTGCCCCAGGTCGATCCCCATTGCCCTGAATATGGACAGGGGGAGTGGCAGCATGTGCTTAGGTTTCTAGTGGGACTTTATGCTTCTGGGTGTGCTACACAACTGAGGCAGAGTTGATATGGCATCAAAAGTAAGTTTTAAAAGGCCTGTGACCTGGGAGATAAGTTAGCCAATAAGGGGGAACGTCCCAGCACACGTTATCTCAATGAAACATCCTGCACCGAAGGCGGAGACAGGACACTTCAGAACAGATAGAGAAGAAATTGAGGCTGAACTGGTCCAAGGTATCTCTTAATACAGGCTTCAATCAAGCATGAAGGTAGAGAGAAAGGAGCTCATGGTTATGCACGCACAACAAATGCGTAACACAGGAACAGGCCACTTAGCCCCTCTGCTCTGCGCTTGTGTTCATACTTGCCACGATATCTCTCTCTCTCTCTCTCCCCCTTTCTCTATCTTTCTTTCACTCCATTTTTCTCTCTTTCTTGCTACCCTTTTCTCTCTCACTCTATCTCCTCCCCCCCCCCCACCTTTTTCTCTTTCTGTCCTCCTTCCCCACATCTCCTCACATGTAAATCACTGAGCAGGAATCAGACCACAAGATTTAGGAACAGAATTAGGCCATTCGGCCCATTGAATGTGCTCCACCATTCAATCGTGGCTGATGTATCTCTCAACCCCATTCTCCTACCTTCTCCCTGTAATCCTTGATTTTTTTTCTCCCTTGGAGCATAGGAGCGATGTTTGTAAAATCATGAGGGGCACGGATTGGGTGAACAGCCAAGATCTTTTTCCCCCAGGGTAGGGGGAGTCCAAAACTAAAGGGCATAGGTTTACGGTGAGAAGGGAAAGATTTAAAAGGGAGCTCAGGGACAACTTTTTCACACAGCTTGTATGGAACAAGCTGCCAGAGGAAGTGGTGGAGGCATCTGGATGGGTAAATGAATAGGAAAGGTTTAGAGGGACATAGGCCAAGTGCTGGCAAATAGGACTAGATGAATTTAGAATATCTGGTCGAGTTGGGTCGAAGGGTCTGTTTCAGTGCTGTACAACTCTATGACTCTTATTCTCCCATCTTTCTGCATGAACTGAAGACCCTCATCCTGGCTCCCATTCCGGGAAATCCCCCTCCGCATCTTCTGTGTGGGTCTAGACACTTTTCCCAAAGAGTGAAGCCCAGAATTGGACACAAAACCCAGCCCAAGACGTGACCAGGGATTTAGCAAGGTTTAGTTTGATACATTTGCTCTCTTGCACCCTGTCTCAAATAAAAGTGAGGATCCCGTCTGTTTTTTATTTAAAAAATGCAATATTCCCGCAAGAGCTCTGCAGTGAAGAATTCCAGGTTCATTCCCTTCAGAGAGAAGAAATTCGTCCTCACATCTGCCTTAAATCTGCAACCCCTTGTGCGGACATGATGCCCCTCTGGTCCTAGGCTCTCCCACACAAGGGGAAACAACGTCTCCGCATGTCCCCTGTCAATTTCACCCTAAGAACCTTGTATGTTTCAAGAATTATGAGGGGCATAGGTAGGTTAGTCAGGAAGGAACATTCCCCTTGGTGTAGGGATCTGTGACCGGGGGCGTGGATTTAAGGTAGGAGGTCTAAGGGGGATGTGAGGAAGTTTATTTTCACCCAGAGGGTGATGGGAATCTGGAACCCAGCGCTTGTGAGGCTGATAGAGGCAGAAAGCCACATGCACATGAACAGGTTTGGAGGGATATGGGCCAGGAGCAGGCAGGTGAGGCTAGTTTACAATTGTTTGTTAGCTCGCCCAGGCAATTGCTGTGCGGTGTGCGGACGTTTCGTTAGCCTTCTAGGCAACATCATCAGTGCGACTTCTAATCGAAGCGTTGGTGTTCTGCTTCCTCCTGGATTTATATGATCTTCTGGTGTGATGGTCTTGTCACTTCCGGTTCTGTTGTTTTAGCAGTGGGGTCTACTTCTGTTTTTGTTAATCGTTCTCAACACAGGACTTCATTAGACTGAAGAGTCTGTTTCCATGCTCTAAGTATGTAGATATGCACTTGTGATGCTAAGGCTTTGGGTCAAGTGCTGGTAAGTCGGATTGGAATAGTTAATGGGGGGGAACGTTTTTGACTCGAATAGCCAAATGGCCTTTGTTGGTGCTTTGTAGGACCTTTGTGACTCAGGGAGAAGGGGAGGCAGTTGCTGCCTTAGCCATCTGGCCTAAAGTCTTGTGGTGCCACTTCTAATTCTCGCCCTCCCATGCCCGCAGATAAACTGTGCCAAACCAAAGAGGAGAACAGCAATATGCACCGGATGTTGGACCAGACTCTGCAGGAGCTCGACCATTTATGAAGCGTTGCTGTTTGCTTGGTCGTTGCCTGGCTTGCCTTGACTCCCCTCCCTGTGCCCGCCGTTGCCCCATACCTCAAATACCAACCCTGTGCCCCCACTCCTACGCTCCCCTTTTCCCCAGTCTCTAACCCCTGTGTCAAAGGTCACCCATGTTGCCACGTGAAGCATTTGGCAGGGCGGGTGGTCACAATGGAGGACAGAAGATCACTGGGTGCTGAATCTATCTTGATAATGCAGTCTTTTACTTTTTTTTAATTAATTTTCTTCCTCGTCTCAAAGCTTTTTATTCTAACGGAGCCAAAGTTTCCCCTAAGCTGTATGGGTCCTCCCCTCACTCCATGTTCCCGACCTGAGAATGGAGAGGGTGGGTGACGGAGGTGGCGCTTTTGGGGAAATCCCAGGGATGCGGGTGTAAGGTGGCGAGATGTAGGAGAGCACTGAGCTGCGAAGAATTCCAGTCGGTCTATTTGGCACCATCACTGACCGGGCCTTCAAGCCCTCCCCCAAATGAACTGGTTTGGATCTGAACGTCTGTCTGTCTTCCCCCTTCACACCCACCGCCCCAAGTCTTCCTCATGCAGTCTCAGTCTGAGACAGAAATGGCGCGCCACCTTATGGAACCTGGTTAACAGACTGCTCACAACAGATCGCCCACCAGCTACCTGCAGCATCAACCCCCTGACTTACTCCTTGGACAGACACAGCGCCAAGGAGTTGTCTACATTGGCACCCGGCAGCCAAAGCTTAAACCCTCTCCAGCCCCTCATGTCTTCCCCCCCACTCCCCCCGAGTGCCAGGCATGAACGGACTCTCTCCCAGCCTGATTTCTTGAGCGTTGCCCTAAGTAGATTCACAAGGCCGTGTTGGGGAGACGGACCACCCATAACCCAGGCCACCAGCAACCTTTCTCAACCTGCTGCCGAAGCCAGTCTCTGTCGTGCTGCGCGAGAGTCCAGTGCCATTTCAACCGGCCAGTATGGAGATCGTTAGTGTTCCCTCAGCACTGCCCCAATCCCAGTTTGAGCTGCCGTTGCCTCCCCACTTAAATCTAACGGGCTGGTTTGTCCGAATTGGCCTGGAAAGATCGACAGACAGAAGCAGTTCACTCAGTGGCGCTGCCCCCTCACCCCCTGTGGACAGATGTGTTTTTCAACTGTCGTACTGGCACCCCTCTCTTTCTCTCTGCCATTCTGCTGGAGGCTCAGGATGTGCATGCACTGCTCAGCCTGGCCCAGGACCTATCCCGCGCTTCAGGCTGAACTGGTGGTTGCTGTTGGTCCTTGTCACCCAGCTGAGTTTGCGGTGAGGGCAAAATTAAGGGAAGGATGGGGGCTCCCATTCCTAACTGCTGTGCATCCACCCCCTGCTGAAGTGAGGACCCCCTGCTGAAGGGATCAATATCACCCAAATAGCAACCAAGGCAGCAGCGACGTATCCCAGCTAGACTTTGGCGGAGGGTTGAGGCAGGGAGAGAAACCCTCTGTGGCTGTGAGGCAGAGATGGATTATAGATCAAGTATCCAGCTCCTCACAACATGAACCAAGTCACACAGGAAGAGAAGTGTTGTGTCAAGTCTGTACTCAGCTGCCCTTAGAAACGAATGCAAGCCAACATTGTCCGTCGTCTCCCTCTCCCACTCAATGCTTTGCCCTTATCCTTTCTGGCCTTTCCCCACTGCCAAAGCTCTCGACATTCAAAATGTATAAGCCAAGCACCTGGTCAGGTCCTGACAGAACTTTTTTTTTAAGAAGCAGCTACGATATTTTTATACTCAGGTCTTAGATATAAAGGAGAAGGTATTTATTTGAAATTGTGTGTAAAAAATGAATTCAATTAGACCCAGCTCCTCTGCAAGAGAAACATCAGGATTTGAAATGTGCATAATTTGATCATGGGCCAAGCAACTGGATCTGTCCTCAGGAGAATAAAAATTGATGTAATGATTTGTTTTTGTTAAAAAAAAAATATTTTACAGGAAAGGACCAATCTCTGGTAGTTGTTGCAATGTGTTCTGACAAGCTTTGAGTTTAATAAAGCATATCTGCTCTAGAGTGAATGTGTTATTTCACCTTATCTTTAGTTAGCTACATTCTAATGCAGGAGGTGTAAATAGCATTTTCACCATCTGGCACTGATATTCCCCACTCTGCTTCAGCATCTTCTGTTCGTTATGTTTGAATAGGAACAGTGGTGCACATGGAACCTATACAATAGTCAGCCACAGCATCATTTTACATTGTCCTCCCATCAAAAACTCCCAGTACAGGGACAGCACCGGGTTAGATACAGAGTAAAGCTCCCTCTACACTACTCCCCCCCACCATCAAACACTCCCAAGACTGGGAAAGCACGGGGTTAGATACAGAATAAAGCGTCCTCTACACTGTTACCCCGTCAGACACACCTAGAACTGGGACAGCACAGGGTTAGATACAGAGTAAAGCTTTCTCTACACTGTTCCTCCATCAAACACTCCCAGAGACAGGGATGGCACAGAACGGATACAGTGTAATGCTACTTCTACACCGTCTCCTCAAACATTCCCAGGACAGCGACAGCACGGGGTTAGATACAGAGCAAAGCGTCCTCTACTGAAACTGATGTTAAACCTCCATCAACCCTGTCGCCATCTAACAGCTGAACTGTATTTGAATAAAGACCTTCGCAGTCAGGAATGAGGAGCCTTCAGGTCATCAAATTGTATAACGAGTCTTTACGGTACAATTAACCATCCTGCTGGACACTGAATATCTTTTATTGTCACGTACATTCAAAACAAAATTCAGTGAAAATTGTGCACCGTCACTCGCACACAAGCGCCATTCACAGAATAAATAAATAAGGATAACTTAAAGACTGTCCAACTTTCCTTCTTCGCTGGTATACCACCACCAGAGTCCTGCTCCAGACCACTCCAATCCACCGAGAGCGTCCTTACAATCCCTACAGTGTGGAAACAGGCCCCTTGGCCCAACAAGTCCACACCGACCCTCAGAGCATGTCAACCAGACCCATTCCCCTCTAACCCACCTAATCTATACATCCCTGGGCACTACGGGACAATTTAGCATGGCCAATCCACCCTAACCCGCACATCCCTGGGCACTACAGCACGGCCAATCCACCCTAACCCGCACATCCCTGGGCACTACGGGACAATTTAGCACGGCCATCCACCCTAACCTGCATATCTTTGGACTGTGGGAGGAAACCGGAGCATCCGGAGGAAACCCATGCAGACACGGGGAGAATGTGCAAACTCCACACAGTCACCCGAGGGTGGAATTGAACCCAGGTCCCTGGTGCTGTGAGGCAGCATTGCTAACCACCGAGACGCCGTGCTGCCCCAGGCTACAACAGCCCACACTGCGCTGCTGTCGGGGGCCTACTCCACGTGGAAAAACAAGAGCCCCACTCCCAGGCCTCAAAGTCTGACCAACCGACTCAGCCACTGCCTCCCCGCCTGAGGGCTCTCTCAGCCCCTTGACCCCTCCATTGCTCCGGCCTGCGCTCGCTCTGCTGCCGCTGCCGGACACGGCCCATGCGCTCTCAGCTACCACCCAGTCACCGGAGGCGACTCCTTTCTTCAGGTTAGAGCTAAAATAGGTGAAGTTAAAAATAGTTTAAGGATGGGGGCGAAATACTGCCAAAGGGCGAGGGAGAGGGAAGGAAAAGCAACTGGTGAGCAGAGGAGCTCCGTCTGCATTAATGCCATCTTGCATTAATGTATTGGGTGAAACATTAATGGTATTGTGTGACTGATTGCTAATATCAGATTTTTGAGGCTGCATCTGTGGGCAACACCACCAGCACAATCGCATTGACCCATAGCGCTCGTTTTAAAAACCGCAAATCTTTAAACTAAGCTGTAATATAGTTTTCCACAGACAACAAGGTGCAGAGCTGGATGAACACAGCAGGCC